GCACCTGCCTAGAATCCCCCAGTGAGGGGCTGGGGTGTGGCTCAGTGGTAGATGCTTGTCTAGTACTACTCAAGGGGCACTTTAGTATCTTTAGCTCTTGGCCAGTTGTGGTGGCACAGGCCTGTCACCCAGTACTGAGAGACACCGGCAGCAGAGTCACTACAACTTTGAAATCAGCCTGGTTTGTCAGGTCCACCTCTTGAGGGACAGGGATGACTAAACCCTACCAATTGTCTAAACAAGGTGGATAACAAATAACCAATAATTAATCATGAGTCACCGGGCCCCGGGCTACATCTTCACTTATATGAAGTCACTGGATTCACATGCCAGCACAATGACATCAGCGTTATTACCATCCTCTTCATCTCCATTTTGCAGAGGGAGAGAGTAAAGGACAGAGGATCTAACTTGTACAGAACTCAAGCAGCTGGGTGGTCTGTCAGAGCTGACACTTCCAATGGGGCCACCAGGCTGTTTAAGATCACAACAGTGTGTGTGTGTGTGTGTGTGTGTGTGTGTGTGTGTGTGTGTGTGTGTGATGCCTATGAATCCAGTTCTTCAGAGGTACCCATGGGAGGATCAGGAGTTAAGGCCATCCTTGGCTACATAGAGAATTCCGGACTAGCCTGGGCTGCATGAGACCCTCTCTCAGAAACAAAAACCAAGAGGCTGGGAAGATGGCAAGGTGGGTAAAAAGCAAACATGTGGACCGAGTCTGGGTCCACGGTGTATGACATGTACACACACGACAGTCACACGACGACAGTGCCGAGGGATGGTTGAGGGGAGGTTTTTTATTATAGTTACGGGGAAGAGTACAGCCAGAGGCATCTGGAAGATTCCAGAGCAGAGGAGACTGGATATGGCCGGCAGATTGGGGATGGGTGTGGAAGAATGAGAGGAAAGAGCGAAGGGACCAAGAGAATGCAGAGCCGAAAAAGGGTCACAGGGCAATGAGAAGGTGGGGTAGGGAAGCCCATGAGCTGGGGAAGTTTAGGGAGGGGGCGGAGTGAGAAGAGCCACATTTGCCAACAGGTGTTTGTGACGCTGAGTGAGGTGGGAGACCAGCATGTGCTTTGATATGCTAATAAGCATCGGTGATAGATAGCCCTTTGTCCCTGACACACAGCAGGCACAGAAAAGCACGCCTTTAATCCCAGCACTCGGGAGGCAGAGGCAGGCAGATCTCTGAGTTCGATGCCAGCCTGGGCTACAGAGTGAGTTCCAGGACAGCCACAGCTACATAGACAAAGCCTGTCTCGTGTGTGTGTGTGTGTGTGTG